TGCACAGACCTCAGAGAGCTTACTCTCAGCCCAGACAGCCAGTTTCCCCATCCACAGAGTCGGAGTAGTAATGATATTCATTCCACAAGATGGGGAAGAGCAAAGAAGAATAATGTCTGGGCAGCACAGAGCCTGCTGTACCCATTCAAGACATTGTCCGTTCACCTACTAATGGAAGAGCTTGGACAGGCACCACTGCCTATGGGGGATGGTGGGCAAGAGAGCGGCCTTCTCAGTCCTGATTGTGTCTGTAAGACCAAGGCCAGGGGGTGGGGGGTGGGGGAAACGGCGGCGGCGGGTAAAGAATCACTCAGCATGGAGGAGCACCTCCCATGTGCTTGCCCTTGGTCTGATAAAGGAGTTGTGCTCCCATGTGGAAAGAACTTTAACTGAGATGGATTCCGAGCATTTTGGAGCTGACTTTGCATACATCAGTACAATCAATGCTTGCAATAACACCAATGACAGCATCATTGGCCCAACATTACAGATAAGGAAATCCACGTGAGAAGGTTCTCCGTGGTTTGCTCAAGGTCACACAGGTAATAAAGAGCAGAAATTTGAAGTCGGGAGATCAGCTTGGTGCTCTGGCACCTCTCTTATGTGCAAGTCACACGAGCCTCTGTGATCATGAACCAGACTCTTGGCAGATTATATCCGAGCTGAGATAAAACACCTGTCTCGCTCCTGTCTTCTGCTGTTTGGGATGCTTTCTCTTTTTCTCTCTCCTCTCTCTTATCTTGCTGCACTTCCATCAATATTGTTGGTGTTATCTACCATCCATAGAAGAGACTGTTTCCCTTTTCTCTGCTGATGTCATCCATTCCTCCTGACATTTGCAGAACAGAAAGACTTCGGTCCTGCAGCACCAGTGATAGCTCTGGTTGTTAAGGTCCTTCCAGCCAGGAGTCTTCAGGCTGGAAAGAGCCCCTCATGACACCTAGCATAAGATAGCTTTGAGCCCTTGTGTCCAAGCTGAGAACCCCAGAGGCCCCCCCAAGTCCTCCCCATGGGAGATCTCCTTCAATGATGTTTTCTTGACTAAACTCTACTCTATCTTTCTACCACAAACTGTCAGCTTACCAACCAGGAATTATTAGTGCATGGCTCGTTATTAACCTCTGAGTTCTCGCCTCAAATGCTCTAAAGAAAATGTTCCTGTTCATGGGAGAAATGCAGACTGGTCCCAGCAGGATGCTGGAATGATTTGACATCTCAGAACCAAACATCTAGGAGACTTTACGCCACAGAGGTTGAAAGTCAGAGCTCGGGGATGGGACTCTCTGGGTTCAAACCTAACTCTCCCTGTAGGTATACCTGTCATCTGGAGGATAATCAGTCCCCGGTGTCTCAATGTCCTCTGTATCCTACCAAGAAGATGACAACAGTGGTGATGTTGTTCCTTTACTAGCTGGTAGAGAGAGTGAATAAAACATATGTGTTTAAAACACTGCCGTTCAAAGAACACCAGCTGCAGATGTCTGTATGTCCCACAGGAAGTGCATCTCAGATTAAATGAATCTCTGTCACCTTCTAAGGAGACATTTCAGTGAATTAGAGGGGAGAGGCTGCAAATAACTATGCAATAGAAAAGGGCTTTTAAAGATCACAGTGAGAGAGAGAGAAGGAAGTAACGTTCTGCCCTTCTATGTGCCATATGTTTCATAGGACATGAAATGCATAGACTGTACTTGTTAATACTGTTGTGTCCTGCATCTGAAAAGGAACCCCACGGGCTCATAGTTTGAATAGCTAGTTCCAAGCTGATGACACTATTTCGGGGGGTTTTAGAGATTTGAGTGGTGGGGCCCAGTTGCTGGAGGTGGGTCACTGGAGACAGCTTTTGGGGATCATAAGTCCCTGGTTACTTCTTCTCACACTTTACTTCCTGGTCAGTTATGATGTGACTTTCCTGGGCCATGGTGTTACCACCATAATGAACTGAACATTCTGGAACCTTGAGCCAAAAAATTATATGCCCCCCCCCAACTTGTTTTTGTCAGATATTTTGGTCGCAGCAATGCAAATGCAACTCAGGGAGAGACAAACAGCAAACAAAAATCCAGCTCAGCGAAGAGCATAGCTAAGCACTTGTAAGTTGTACTGAGCACACAATACAACACAATTCCTTCTTCTTCTTCCTGTTCTGACTTTTCAGCCGCCCAAGCGAGTCCCAACTCCCAGAAATATCTGAACCAGAAGGGTTGGCTCAAGTTGGTTGTCAACAACCAACAATTAAAAGTGGTTTTGATGCTGGGCATGGTGGCGCTTTGAAGGTTGAAGCAGGGGGATCATGAGTTCAAGGTTAGCCTGAACTATATAGCACGGTCCAGGATAGTCTGAGCTTTGTGGTGAGATCTTGTCTCAGAGAACCCCAGGCTTGTGGCACAGCTCAGTAGTCTGAGCTCCTGTTTCACATGTGTATGTGTTGGGGTTAATTTTCCAGCATCGAGGGGAAAGTGGCCTTAGGAAAGAAAACAAAGAGCCGCAAATGCAAGAGAATACCGTTTTAGCTCTGAAGAGGGCAGTATGGAGCCAAGGCCAAGCAGGTACTCATGGTTTCCTTCCAGGGCCTGACGGCAGGACAGCCCTCAGGAGCCCAGGCAGCTTGGGTTTCCAAGAGCTTATTTCTTGAAAGACAAACACATCTTCACACATGAAATAGGATTCTTGAGGTTTGAGCACAGTTACACACTGCCTCTCAGGGGGACACAGCGCAAACTGATACGAAGCTGGTTATGCAAGATGGATGGGAGAGTTCCCGTTTTCCTTTCCTGTGCTGGCGCTCCTGTGCTGGCGCTCCGGTCTGCTCTCTCAGATCAGCCTCTGTGAGGTTAAACAATAGCACGGCCTCCCAGATGGCGTCCGATGTTTGCAGAAGAAAGTGTTTCCTGTTCTTCTAAGACTCTGAGCACAGAGTCCTGCTGCCTAAAGCAAAATATTCTCGAAAACATCCTTTGCACAGAAAGAAAATATTGAGAATGGGGATCTTAGCTCCTGCGATGCATTTATCAAACCAATCACAGTAGTTATAATTAGAACACAAAGGAACTGGACACTATGCATGAAATACATTTCCAGAAAACCTGAACTGCATGCAGTTAAGCCCTGTGTGGTGGCATTTCCAGGTATGCCATTAATGCATGGGTCGGGGGAGGGGTTGGAGCAGCTCTTAAGTATCTCTCAGTCTGGTTGCATTAAAAGCTTCTACTAGAGTTGAAGAGGAGAAATAAGGGTGCATAACATGAACTGCTGCACACAGAGCTATAAGACGGATGTCAAAGGGTCACTCACCCAAATGGCCCACTTAAGCCATTCTCTGACACCCTGTGAAATACGTTCATTGGGCACCATTTCAGCCCAGGTCAGCATTAAGAGGAGGGCAGAGCTTCAGGGAAGGGAGAGTTTTAATTCTTCGCCTCCATTTTTGGGAGCACATTAAACGACTATGGTAGAAATCTTCCCATGGCTTCCCACTACCCAGAGAAGAAAGATTATTCTTCTAAAACGCTTTATTGTATTTATTGACTTATTTATTCACGTATTATGTGCTACAAGGTTGCCACCCATGCCACAGGCACCTGTAAAGGACAACTTGCAGGAGCTGGTTCTCCCCTCCCATTATGTGGGTTACCCAGGTTACCCACTGAACCATCCTGGCAGCCCAGAAAGTCCATTCTTACTGCCTCTCCCCACTGTGAGCTACCTGGACACTGCAATGTCTGTCTTTCCTTTTACCTTGACTTACATGATCTTTCCATTGCTAGACTACGACTCTCCAAGTCAGAGATTTCATCTCTTTATCCTGGGTATCCAGGATCTAGCATATGAGCCAGCAGCAGAATGGGTGCTTGGAAAATGTTGAGTGAAGAGTGACCAGTACAATAGGTAAGTAAAGAAAGAAGTAAACAGTGAACCAGCCACACTTCTGCACCCAGCTCAAAGCCACTTCAGATAGCCCTTCTCCTGCTTGTCCCATATCAGATTCTGCCGTTTCATTGCCGGGATGGCAATCCAGGACAGTTTTAAGGAAAAGGCAGCTTTTCATAGAACAGCTGAGGAGAGGTAATTCGGGTAGGAAGAGATGCACTTGACATGTGGTGGTGACTGTGTAAAGCACTATGGATCTCCTTAGAACACACCCTTTGAGTAGAAGCCCTGAGTTTTTCCTGGGACCCTTTTAGGAGAGTGGGTGTCCAATGACAGATTTCAGACCATGTCCTCTGGCATCTTGCCATATAAAAAGTATAAAAGGACTGTATAGAAAGTTGCCATGTAACCTTCGCTCTGTCCCCCCAGTGTGAAAAGATCACCAGCAGGACATTAGCGTTGGGACAATTCACCTACCTACTTCAGACTTCGTTTTAAATTCACGTGTGTGTGTGTGTGTGTGTGTGTGTGTGTGTGTGTGTGTGTGTGTGTTTGCATACTTTACATTTCTGATAACAGCTCCTTGCTTTCCTCCATCCCGGAGACCACCAGGGCAGGGGATCAGGCTCTTCTATCCCGGCACAGGACTTGGCTCCCGCTGGCACCTGTGCAGGTGACTGAAAACCGTCCACATACACACTTAAACTTGTCAGCGTGTGTGCAAGCGGCAGGAACAACATTTTAAGGCAGAAAAACGAAGCATGAAGCATCTAATATTTTAGAGGCCAAAAGTTGGCCATTTTCCCCAGTTGTGAATTGGCAAACCTGCTAATTGCTCCAGAGCGACCCTGGAGTTCAGCTGTGATCTCTGGAGAGCACAGTTTTGGGGACCCCATCCCTTCATCCCTGGGTTGTGGGAGTGGGAAGTCTTCGCAGGCTACCCCCCCAAGGGCTCCTCCTGCTGCTGCCCCCCACTTTCACCCCTTTCTTCCCTGGGGCCGGACTGTTTCACCCCGTCTCCAGGCAACAGCCAGGCGCGCCAGGCGGGACGTCATTTCCTGAAGAGCCCGCTGGGGGGACGGGGCGGGGAGGGGGAGGGGTGAGGGGCGGGGCCAAGGCCCGGCTGGCGACGGCGACGGCGACGGGCGTCGGAACTCGCTGGAAGACTCGGCTCAGAGCTGCTCAACAGTTCGCAAAGTCCGGGCTCACGGGCGCGTGGCTCCGTGTGCGCCCGGGCGGCGCTGGGGCGCGGGGGGCCCCGGGCTGCTGCATGGTGGGCGGCCCGGGACATGCCCCGCTCCCCCCGCCGGACGCCCGCGTGGCTCCTCCGGCTGCGACTGCTCCGGACTCTGGGACTAGATCGACCGGCGCCCTAACTTCTGACTTTGGGGTCCCCCAGCCCTAGAGGAACGGGCAGCTCGGCTGGGGGAGCCCCGGGCATGGTGTGACGGGGCGGGCGGCGTGGCTGCGCCCCCCACTGCGGCCACGCGTGGTCCCCGCGCCTTCCGTCATGTAGCTGCTGTCCCCGCTCCCCTCCGCCTCCAGCCGCAGTCTCCGCGACCTCCGGCCTCCAGCCGCCAACTCTTTGTCCCCCAGGATCCCGCCGCGGTCTTCGCGTCCTCGGGATTGCAGCCGCCGTCTCTTCGTCCTCCGGATTCCAGTTTCGCCACTCCGGCTGCCTTCGCGCCCCTGGGACACTAGCCACGGTCCCTGCCATCTCCCCAGGATCCAGCCACCGCTCCTGCGCTCCCTCCCCCGCCCCAACCCACCCCACAGCCGTCGTCTCCGCTCTCCAGCCAGTCTAGACTGCAGTCACAGTCTCCGCGTCTCCCCCAAGCCCAGACTCCAGCCGTGACCTCCGCGCCCCCGGGAATCCAGCTGTCGCGCCGCTGGCCGCAGGTGCAGCAGCCGCCCCGCGCCGCGCGCCCCGAGTGCGGCCGGGCCTCGGCGGGGAGATGAACGCGCAGCTGGACGGCCTGTCGGTGAGCTCGTCCTCCACCGGCTCGCTGGGCTCAGCGGCCGCGGCGGGCGGCGGCGGGGGCGCGGGGCTGCGGCTGCTGTCTGCCAACGTGCGCCAGCTGCACCAGGCGCTCACGGCGCTGCTGAGCGAGCCCGAGCGGGAGCAGTTCACTCACTGCCTCAACGCGTACCACGCGCGCCGCAACGTCTTCGACCTGGTGCGCACCCTGCGCGTCCTGCTGGACAGCCCGGTCAAGCGGCGTCTGCTGCCCATGCTGCGACTGGTCATCCCGCGCTCCGACCAGCTGCTCTTCGACCAGTATACGGCCGAGGGCCTCTACCTGCCCGCCACCACCCCCTATAGGCAGCCCGCCTGGGCCGCTCCCGACGGCGCGGGGCCCGGGGAGGTGCGGATCGTGAGCCTCCGGCGCGCCAAGGCCCACGAGGGCTTGGGCTTCAGCATCCGCGGGGGCTCGGAACACGGCGTGGGCATCTACGTGTCACTAGTGGAGCCGGGCTCCCTGGCAGAGAAGGAAGGGTTGCGGGTCGGGGACCAGATTCTGCGCGTCAACGATAAATCTCTAGCCCGGGTGACCCACGCGGAGGCTGTCAAGGTAGGGCTGTGGTTTGTGGGAGTGGTAAGGGGACGGTACAGGCAGTGTAGTACTGCCTTTTCGGTTGCGCTGTGCTGTTTTCTCTTATACCAAATCGCTTGACCCTTCTGGTCCCCATTGTGTTTTTGTTTTGCCCCCCTGCCTCGACTTTAAAAGAGGAATGTCTAATGTGTGGCACAGAGAGGAGATGGTGATTCTTGCCTTGCCTGACCTAAAGGCTAAGGCACAAACACAGTATCACACAAGCAAATGCCTGGTCACAAAGTGTGAAAAGGGCTGTGGAATCTTAGGAATGGTAGAAGAGAGCCCCTGCTTGGCATTACTGATGATCCACCCTGCTGCTGCTGCTGCTGCGCTGTTCTCCGGATCCGGATCCTGATCCATAGGTTTTTACCCCTGAAAGTTCTGCTTCACTGCTAGTGACACAGGAGGAGACTGGGTGACCACAGAGCTAGTGTAGACTAGCTGGTGTATCCCGGAACAAGCCAGACCAGAGAAGTGGCTCCTGACTTTGTTGCAAACTAGGCTACTACTGCCTGAACATCCGGAATGAAACCCGACAGTCCCATGAAAGTGTGCACTTTGTGTGTGTGTGTGTGTGTGTGTGTGTGTGTGTGTGTGTGATCTGTTAATTGAGAAAAATAACCTCACCACAACTGGCTAGTAGGAATCTAATCCTGCTGTCTGGAAGAACATTCGTGCCTGCTAGTCTTATCGCCCAGGGTGAGTGAACACCAGCCAGCTGGAGTATGAGATGCAGGGTTTGGTCCCTGGGTGGACTCAAGGATCTTTCTCTCATAAGCACTTAGCCCCAGCCCTACTGCTTCTTAACATGAAGTGAGGAGTTTGAAGGAAAGGAATGACAAGAGTTCACTATCTGCTCTCTTCAGAGAAATGCTTCCCCTGGTTAGGGTTGGCCGGTGAGCCCCCCCTCACCCTATTTTCTGGCCCACCTCACACAGCTGTGCCAAACAGGACACACTGGCTGCTGGGAAACTCCTAGGTAGCAAAAGTCCAGGGCTGTTTTCTGGGCGGTGTTCAGTGACTTGTGGTCAGAGGAGCGGTGCTGGCTGACTGTGTGCACCTTGGACACCACCTTCTGCCTCTGACCTTGGCTTTGATCGTTTGCTTCTCTACTCAAGGTCCCCTTTTCAGAAGGCCCCTGAGGTTTCTGAAAAATTCTTTCCAGTTTCTGGAGAAGCTTAATGGCCTTTTATTATTCTGGGGGCTAGCAAAGATCTTCGTGGGTTTCCCATTCTCTCAGGCTCCTCCCCCAGCATGATTCTCTCCTCTTTATCTTGCATCCCATATATCCATAAAGAAATAGCCCATTAGTGTTGTCCTAAGAGGTCCAAAGTTCCTAAAATGATGAATTTACGCTCTAAAGAGACTTGATCCAAATGTCATTTATAAGCACGGATTCAATTTTAGTGGCAATTTACAGAAACTGGAGTCACTTAATTATCACTAGGTGAGAGACTTTGGAAAGGCAACTTGAACATGAGCAATACAGGCTCTTCCTCCAGTTTGTACCTCAGGTCTGGCTGAACCGTTCAGTTTCTGGCATCAAAAAGGTCATGATTAGGACTGTAGGTCTCAACCTCCCTGAGCTGCTCCTGGGTGCTCTTGAACTGGGGCTCAGGGCCCTACCTCATATCAGCTCCTGCTTGATGTTTGCGAAGGGACACCTCAGCTCTCCAAGCACAGTTTAGGAAGCCTGCAAAGGAACACTTGCCCCGGGGTTGAAGGGAATAGAACAGGAACATCCTTGAAGTGTGACATCTGCAACACAGGGCCTGTGTGAGCAGAGTTGACTTGCGCATCCCTTTTCCTCCTGGTGACTACCATGAGCTCCCGGCCTAAGGGAGCACTTCTAACCAATGTCAGACATGTGATCCTGGGACCCTTCAGAAGCATTGGGCAAAAGGAATGTTGTGTCATCCCAACTCCAGGGAATGGAGGGGACAGAATTTTCAGTAGTAATACAGAACAGAGGACACCACACTGCAGAGTGACATCATGTTCAGGTGAATAGTTAGAACACCTGGAGAACTGTTGACACATTGTATAAAATGCAGAGAATAAAGCCCCTTCTCTGAGACCCGGAAGGGGCCCCAGTTACTCCAGGAGACACACGTCATCACCTGGGAATTGTGGGGGGGGGGGGCCTCTTGGTCAGCCATGAGCTATGGGACTCGGAGGGCTCCATGGTTAGTGTACACAGATGCTAGCTGGACTCTAGGCTTCATCAGTGTCCCTGCGTTTTCTACATGTGTCTTGTTTCTGTCCCAGGGTCCCCCATTCCATTTAGTAGACGATGTCTTTTTAATTAAAAACAAAAATCTATATTTTTCTTTCATGTTGGCAAAAGGAAGTGAACCTCAGAACTTTCCCAGAGGAGAGATTGTTTGTATGCATATACAACATAAAGAGAAACCAATTAAAACGAACTCTTAAGAATCAAAGTGTCAGAGCGCCTGTGCATCAGAGAGGAACGCAGCTTTTAAAAGAGGGATCAAGTAAACAAAGTTTACTCAGCTTCTCTTCCTGACTGATCTTACATCCATTGATACCCAAAGCAATTTGCTGAGGATTTTATACCGCACCCAACAGGATTCCATTCCTCTTTTAAAGTCCAGTTATCCAATCAGCAGTGACGTGTCTAGATTAGGCAAACCATTTACTATGTAGAATTATGTTGGAATGTTTGAGTTTTGAGAGGGGGAAAAAAGCTATTTGGAATGAACAAGAGTCAAACTAGTAATTTTTTTTTTTTAAGTAGCTCTTTCAAAGGTCTCCAGACAGACATGCTAGATCAGGCAGCCAAGGACTCCACAGACTACTTGCTACATTAAGTTCTGCTGCACCCTTGCCGTGTGTGACCTTGGGCAAGTCACTGACTGATATGGTTTGCTCCAGGCTAAATGGGTCTGGAGCTGTCCAAGGTCCTTCCCAGCTCTGGGAGTCTGATTTGCTTGGCTTGTGCTACCCAGAAGGCATGGAGACCGTCTGATCATCTGTGTTCTTGTTCTTTTGGAATTGCCTTCAGTTAAGGCAAAAAGAACTGGCTGTGGATTGGGAGAAGGGAAGCTTGGCACCCCTGGGTAACTGCTAAATCAGGAAATCCATGGGTTACACACTGTACTGGCGGGAGCCCGGCTGCCGTCTCTCACTCCTGTCTCTCAACCCAAGAACACCAGCCCTGGGGTGAGTCCAGAGTGAGTGGGAATTGCCAGTAGGGTTGGGGCACAAGCAGCACTGCCTTGGGAGCCCTGGAGCAAATCCACTCACCCACTAGCTTCCTTAGTCCCTTGTTGATGTAGGTAGCAGCACTTAGGATATCCAGGTACTGTTTGGTGTGGTGTGGTGTGGTGTGTGTGTGTGTGTGTGTGTGTGTGTGTGTGTGTGTGTGTGTGTGTGTATACTTAATAAAAATTAACAGCTTCGTTGCAGTCCCAGCATTCCCACAGGTAAATCTGAGCAGCAAATTAGAAACTGAAATGTTCCAGACGTTGAGAAGTGTTTGTGGGCCCTTCCAATTAATTAGAGCTGTCACTTTTCCCGTTCCTTTGCATAGTAACCCCAGGAGGAATCTGTCAACATTAATACAAGTCATTCTGTTGGGTTCAGGAGGTTCGAAATGACATATTTGTCGTTTTACATTGTCATGGTTAGTGAGGCCACTACATATTCTTATCACTTCCAGATTTGTATCTGAAACCTGGTTTCCTGCACCTGGTCTCTTTCCGGGCTCCAGTTGGAAACCATGGGTACACACAGGCTCCTCTCTGGCCCAGTAACAATTCTTGGTTCTCATGAATCCTGTCAGCTGTGACCTGCAGAGAGTCACTCTTTAGAAAGCTCTTGGTTACCTCATATCCAGAGTTTATGCAGGTCTGGGAGAGGGTCTGTGTCTTTAATGCAGTCTTGTATATTTATTGGCTCAGGCTGACACTCGGGGCTTTAGAAAACGATGCCTGTGTGAGACAAATCTTGCAGCCGGTTATTTGCTGTTAAATCAAAAGCCACGTTTTATCAGTGCTGCCTTTGTAGGGAGCGTCGATGGTCTGCTAGATTTCGTGTCTTCTGACTTGAAGCCGGACATGAAAGGGGAACAGAGTCAGCCTAGCGCTGGCTTTGGTACCTCAGTCGCCCCCATCTGCTGATGACCCCAGGCGGTTTGTGACTCGCCTCAGGTGCTCATTTGGATGGAGCTGCAGAGAGCAGTGTGGGTTACCACCACTGCTGCTTGCCACCTCGGCCTGTCTCCAGCCCCATGCAGGGACACAGCCCCACGTGCACCTGTCAAGTGCAGGCCGCCCGTCATCTGCGCCTGCCTGTCTGCTCATGCATGTCTCCTTGGATTCTTAATCTTCCCTCCATCCTGCAAAGGGCTTTGCATAGAAGCAGGCATTTGGAGAGGATTAGGGCTCCAACTGGCTTTCTAGCAAGGCTCTTTTATGGCTGTTTGGTCCCCATTGCTTAGGGACATCACTCAAGTCCCCAGTCAGGGCCAGAGAATCTGATTAGAAGAAATGACATTAAATGGCTGGAAGTAGCTAGAGGCTGAAATACCAATCTTCTCATACCCATTCCTTTTTTCTTTCTTTTTAAACCCCCAAGCAAGCACGCAAGCTGGAGTCTAAGCTCACAGATGTCTAATTGTGCCGCAGGGTGGGGGCGCTTTTAAAAAGTGCCTAGGCTGCCGCATTTCCTTTTACTTTCACAGCCGGGCAGGTGCAGAGTGGGAAGCATGTTTTCTGTTCCCTTCCCTGCATTCCAGGTGGCAGCTGCGGGCAGCAGTGCCGAGGGTCAGGGAACATGGGCCTTGCTTTTGATTTCCTTTTCTTTTGAGAGCATATTTGTGTGTGTGTGTGTAGAGGTATATGTATGTGTTTGTGTGGGGGTGTGCACTTATGCATGCAACTGTGTGTGTGTGTGTGTGTGTGTGTGTGTGGTGGGGGAGCAGGTCAAGATTGACATCAAGTGTCCTTCTCTAT